TCTGTAAAGGACCATAATTTGCTAATGCAGTACCACACATGGGACTTTGAATATACACAAGTCAAAAAATTAAATCAACCAACAAGTTTGTGGAATAATCACTGTACTTAAATAATCTACATTTTCAGTCTCTGAGTAACAATTGTGCTCTGGGTTCCTCTTGTGGAACTCGTGCCCAGGGATTTTGCTGGATCTTTGTACGTGCTTTCATTGAATCACAAAACGGGGGAGGTTGGAAGGGACCCCAGTGGGTCACCTGGTCCAACGTCCCTGCTCAAGCAGGGTTGTCCTAGAGCACGTCGCACAGAACTGTGTCCAAATGGCTCTGAAACATCTCCAGTGAGGGAGACTCCACAACCACTCAGGGCAATCTGTTCCAGTGCTCGGTCACCCGCACATTATTCTTCCTCATGTTCAGGCGTTCCCAGCACAGTCAGTGAAATTACTGTGGATAACAGCACCTCGATCCACTGCTTGGAAACATCAAGTACTTATTCTTGCTGAGGGAATAACAAGACTCTCCACAGTGTTTGGAGGTATGGACAATCATAATGGTTACCCCAAGATCATGTGCAAAAGTAACTTCAGCTGGTAAGTGCATGTTTAGGAAAGGAAAACATTTTTGGTGTTATAATGCCATCTCAATAAAAAGATCAGAAATGTCATCTTTTAATTTATGGTACTGTGGTACTTTTTATTCTCTTGGTTAAACATTGCTGGAGATTTTGTGATAAGAGCACTTGCAATGCTAAGTAGAAAGGGAATGACCTTTAGAGCATTGCTGTTGTTCAGGTATCGTTCCAGCTGGCAGGTCTAGTGCTCAGGCTGGGATTTTTTTCTGTTTTTAAGGTGATGTGTTAATGTGTTATTGTTGTTACTTGGAGCTTAACATTGTAAACATATCCCACCTCATTAGCAGCAGTGCACGTGAGGCTAAGGCTACTTGGCAAAAAGGTTGGCGTGTATCTGCCCCAGCTTACTATGTTTGATGTTTGTGAGGCTAATTAAAGAGCTACAAGATTTCTTATTAGGAAAAAGGATAATTGTGCCAGCAGACCTAATGATGCTTGGTCTAACTGGGCTGCTGTGGCTTACTGCATGTACATAACTGATGTCTGTATGGGCAACAACTCTTGCTTGTCCCATTGCTTCTGCTGTGCTAACCTATGCTGCTGTACAAATGTAAAGTACTTGTTGGGGCCTTAGAAATACTTGGCTGCCCTGCTACTTAAAATAGCTAGTTAGGTGCCCAAAATGTACTGCTGGAAGTAGAAAGACTGGTAGCTTTGTGGTTGCCCATGGACTTCTGTTACTTCCTGTGAAGGTGTGAGTATTTCCACATCCCATTAAATTATGTAGCCAGTATAAATCAGGATAGCTGGACTGCTGTCAGTATAGCCATCCTAATTTATATCAAAGGTCTGGTCTAGCTGCTCTCTAGCTTGTTGGCATGTCTCAGATGATGTGATGATAATGAAGCCTGGAAGTTGGGCTATCACTGTTTCTGAAGGAGTTCCCCTGTGCAAAGCTGAAGAATGCAGTTAAACCTAAGTTCATATCAGGGTGCAGCTGAGATCAGAGACAGGTTTTGATACTGGAAGTGAGAATAAAAAATGAAAAAATCTCAGTATGTAGGAATGTGGAATACGGTTAATTTATATTTTGCATTGAGTTGAAATAAATATACAATTGCAGTTAACTTGACAGTGGGGGAAGAAAAAAAAAGCACTAATTGGCATACTAGTTATAATTTATCTAGATAGCCAAGGGCCTAGGAGAGCATGGAAGTATTGCTTCTCCATCAGGTCAGAAACTAGTTAATAGGAAAAGGGGAATAAACTCACTTTTCCCTTTACTCTGCTGTGTGTGTCTTGAGTGATTAATCTGTGCTTTGCCTCAAGCTGTTAATCTGCAGTGGTGACATTTCAATTATAACCGACATTTTGTCCGTCCCCTCTGGAAATTCTGGATTTGTCAGTGCTAAAACATTAGTAGTACATGAATGCAACTTCACTGATAAATGCAGAGCTAAACCTTGTTTGCTTTCAAGAAACTTGAATGCAGGAAGAACAGCAGCAATGCACATTTTCCATACACCAGTAATAAATCTGAGAGAACGCTGCCTTGATGGGAGGATGGGCAACAGAGTGACTGGGTAAGGCGTTGATTCTCCAAACTTCCTTATTTTCTTTTGAAAAACATGAAAAGTGAAAGTAGCAACAATAACATTCCCACTTTGTCCTCTGATGAATTTTCTTACCGAGTTGCCTTGTCGCCCTTGTTCCTAATTAAAGGAGATCTAGTAACACGAGAGTGGTTATTCCCCAACTTTTCTCTGCTGTTTAAGTCAAATGATTTCCTGTTAATTGGGACTATTCTTCTGATCTGATTGCTGAAGAATATAACTGATTCTTACATCCTCATAAGATTGCTTTATTTACAGTCTTGTTTCTTTTCTACTAGCCAATATCTCCCTAAAAAAAAAAAATTACAATCCACTAATCTCTTTTTCTGAAGTAATTTATCATTCTTACAGCTTTCTTCAGAACTGACTTCAGTTTCTCTTCATTTTTGCAAGTAATTACCTTCTGAAAATTGCAGCATTTCAAGCCTCAGCCTCTGAACCTGTTAATTGTTTATAGGGAGTATGCAGCCAGTGAAAGGACCGAGCAAGCCACTCCTCCCTGGCTCACCAGTTACATTCTGCATTAATAAAACCCCCAGCCTCTGTGTGTTATTTGATCCTTTGTTTTCTGGTATAAGTTACACTAAGGAAACCATTCTTGGTAACATTTTGAAAACATTATTTCCTTCGCAGCCTCTGGTTAAGTGAGACCTTTGTTCGGAACAGGTTCATCCAGCGTGAGCTCCTTCCCCTTAAGCTCCTTCCCCTTAAGAGAAGGGAAATTCCACCACTACCTGATGGCCATTAATATTTTAAAGGTTTTTCTTTGCAATAATAACCAGAAATCTTAAAAGTATAAACCCATGGGAATTAGGGCTTTGAGAAACCAGTGGGACTATTTAAAATGTTCAGTATATGAGAAAATTTTTTATTATAACTTGAAAGGCATTTCAAATTAAGTATTTGTACTGTTAAAACAGTTTAGGATCCTGGGCATGCAAAACCTATTTGACTTCATTAAAGCTCTGCTGAGATACTGCCTTGATTGCAGCATGGAAGTGTATTTTACATGACCCTTCTTTTGATTAAGCAATTCCACTTTGCTCATCACATACTGTGACAGGTAACACAAAACCCTAAAACCTCCCCAACCCTCCCAGCTGAAAAAAGGCAAACTAGAAAACAAAACTTCAGCCAAAGAAACAATTTGGTGTTTTTTAATGGAATACTTTGTGTGTTTGCGCCGATCAGAGTGTGATACCACAACATGGCTGGCACACAGTGATGGGATATTAAAATTTCATTAATTCCTTTGGACTGTGGTTTGAGGTTGTTTTGGTTCTGGTTCCTGGGTAGTCTCTGCACTGGCCCAGGTGCTGCCACTGGGGATCCCCACGTTACAGGCACTGGTTACTGGTGCTCAGCAGCCCCATGCATAGGCCTGGCACAGAGTAACCCACCGTCACATCATCCCACCATCACATCATCCTGATACCGAGCCCCTCAAGATTTGAACAAGGGTTTGAATCAACCTTTGCAATTTTTTTTTTTTTTTTTAGTTGTTAATCAGTAGCTGTAGCTGGACAGTTATGATTAAGCTGTTGCATTGTGAATTTCGTATGCTTGGCTAATCTGCTGTTTTAAGGAAGAGGGAAGACAATCCAAAGGTGAACAAGAGCCACTAGGAGTGAAGTCAGCAGGACTGAGCAGTAACTGAGGGATAGGTAATTCAGGTAGTGGGTGATCACGACCACCGACTCACTGACCACCCACTCAAAGCACACCCCAGACTGAAATGCAGGGAAGAACTCTGCTTGTGGACTAATTAGTATGAGAAGTGAGAGAGATAACTAGCAAATACGGGGTTGAGTACTAATTAATAGAAAACTTATGTAAATTGTAACCAATGAAAGCCGATGCCTCGGTTTGTTAAAATATATTAATAGTGTAAAGTTTTGGTGACTGGTGACCCAGACTTTTGTGTGTTACCACTGAGTGCCCTACTTTGTGCAAATTAGAGTAAAATACAGAAATACTTCGCCTCGGTGTGTGGATTGGTGCTGTGAACCGGGGAGCAAGCCTGCGTTTGGGATAACAATCCCCCCATCTCATCACCCCCCCCCCCCTCCCCACCCCCCCATCTCATCACCCCCCCATCTCATCACCCCACATCACCTCAACCTCACCATCGCCTCACCCCCCGCCCGAGCTGTTCCCGGCCCCTCCGTGCGGGGTCGGGAGCGGGCTGGTCCCGCTCCCAGCACTCATTAACCGCGGTGCTGCCGCTCCGCGGGGCCGGGCTGGCGGCTCCTGCCCGGGGAGGCCGGGCCAGCAGAGCCACCCCCTTCCCACTCCCTGCCCCGGCTCCCGGGTGAGAGTGAGGGCCGTGCTGGGCCGTGCCGGGCCGTGCCATGGCCTCTCCCTGCTACCTGGGCTGGGATTTCAGCACGCAGCAGGTACCGCGCCGCCTCCCCCGCCCTGCTCTCCCCTCCCCTCCCTCGGCCGGCCCCTTGCGCGCAGGGCGGCGGGGCCGGGGCCGCCCCGGCTTCCCCGGGCCCTGCCCCGAGCGAGGCTGGGCCGGCCGGGAGGGTCCGACCGCGGCGGGAGCGGGGGCTGCCCCTGGGGGATGCGAGGGATGCGGGCGATGCGGTCCGGGCGGCACCGCCGCCACCGCGGCCGCTGCGCTGCCCCCAGCACAGAGCGGGGACAGGCCTTCCTCTTCTCAGCTCCTTCCTCCTCGGGCGGCTTCCGTCCCATCTCAGAGCCTTCCGTTCCCCTTTTCCTCCTCCCAGCGGCGGATTTGCTTTACAGGGCTGTTCACGGGCCCGGCCGGGGCTGCAGGGAGCGGAGCGGGTGTTCCATGCCCAGAGCTCACCCAGGATGCAGGGAGCGGAGCGGTGTTCCATGCCCAGGGCTCACCCAGGATGCAGGGAGCGGAGCGGTGTTCCATGCTTAGAGCTCAGACAGGATGCAGGGAGCGAAGCGATGTTCCATGGCCAGGGCTCACACAGGATGCAGGGAGCGGAGCGGTGTTCCATGCCCAGGGTTCACCCAGGATGCAGGGAGTGGAGTGGTGTTCTATGCCCAGAGCTCACACAGGATGCAGGGAGCGGAGCGGGTGTTCCATGCCCAGAGCTCACACAGGATGGAGGGAGCAGAGCGATGCTCCGTGCCCGGGGCTCGCAGACGCTCCGTCTTGCCGCAGCTGATGCCAAATAATTCACAGTCACACAGTCCTTATGGCTGGATTGCCCAGAGAGGTTGTGGAGTCTCCCTCACTGGAGATACTCCAGACCAATCCAGACGCAATCCTATGCCACGTCCTCTAGGTCGACCCTGCGTAAGCGGGGAGGTTGGACCAGATGACCCACCGTGGTCCCTTCCAACCTGACTGATTTTGTCATTCTGTGGAAGGGACTTCTGGAGATCAGCCCAGTCCAACTGCCCTTCCAAGGCAGAGTCACCTGGAGCAGGTGACACAGGAATGTGTCCAGGTGGGTTTGGAACGTCTCCCTGAGCAGCCTGTTCCAGTGCTCTACCATCCCCAATGTAAAGAAGTTCTTCCTCGTGCTGAAGAGGAATTTCTTGTGGTTTGTTTTATGGCCATAATAATTCCCAGTGCCTCGTGTTTTAAGATGTTTATGTGCTATGGGCACAACATGGTTGTTCTCATGTCCCCTTCACCTGCATAAGTGCATTCTTTGTCCCTTTCTGTTTGCCCCATATCGTGTCTGAAACTGTGGGTTGCATGTCCTAATGTGTCCTGCTTCCCCATCCTGCTAGGGGTGTGTTTAATATCCTGAAAAGGAGTGCTGGGACACTTCTCTACACTCAGACTACATGGACACCCCTCTGCCTGCTCTTATAGGAGCTGTGATTCGCACCCAAATCCAGCTTTCCAGTGTCCTCATGGGAATCAAGACTAGTAGGATTGTGAACCTGGATGCTCAGATTGCTGCTTGAAATTCTGAACTGTCAACACATTTGGGTATTGCCACACTTGAATAGAAACTGCTGAAGTTGTGCAGAGGCCTGAATATGTTAATAACAGGTGTTTGAGCATAAATCACTGTTATGGTGCTGAAGTCTGGGAGCTTGAAAGGACACGTCCAGGTTAGGTTGATCAAGTGCTTTGAAGGGGATGTGCTGCAAGCAGAGAGCCAACTAGACTGCAGTGGGTCAGAGACATTTTTTGAGCTAGTGCACTGTGCCAGTGCATAGGTAATGGCCCTACTTTAGTATGGCAAAAATAGGGATGGCCTTGTTATTTGAATATAACTCCTTAAGATGAACTTAGTTTTTGTAGGGTTTTTTTTGGGTTTTATTTTTTTTTTGTCTGTTCCTTTAACAGCACTTCGTACTCTCTCTCTTGTTGAAATAGGTGCAGAACATGAGCTACCTTCTCACTTTTCTTCTTGATTGTTACTATTTTCCTTCTGAACTAGGTGAACTTAAGTGAATACAGAGGAGGAAAGGTTGTGGTACTCTTCTAATTTGTGCTGAAAAGAAGGCTCAGCTTTATGGAGTAACCCTTTTGGATGTTGCTTTCTGTGTGTTGCATAAGTTCAGAATACACTTGTGTAGAGCCCTCTGAGCTTTGCCAGACTGGGAGAGTTTCATTTACTCACCATCTGGGGAGCAGGGAAGGTCCTCAAGGTACCCTAAGGGTCTGTTAAGTTCCTTGGTAAAATGAGGCCAAAAAAAGAAGGGGAAAAAAAAAAGGTATATGGCATCTTTAATCTCAGATACTGTATTCTTTGGAGAAATTGCAAAACTGGTTACTATGATGCAAGCTACAAACCTGGTAATTTGTTTGCTGTTTCTTAGCAAATGCCTGCAGCTCGATCTTGTTCATTAGAGGAGAAAGAAAATGAGGAGACAGAATACACACAAATAAAAATACATGTTGCTGAATAGGTGACATATTATTCACATAACTTGTTTAATGTAAAATTGTGCCCATACTTTCAGCAAGGTGTATGGATTGCGGTGATCTTTTTTTTCCATTTTGTCTGTGGGAATTGAATTATTATAAATGAGTTATCAGTGCTATTTAATTATTGCTAGATTTTGTTAACTTCCTGTTTTATATCTTCTAGTTGAAAGTCATTGCTATTGATGAACAGCTGAGAGTCATTTATGAGGATAATGTTCATTTTGATAAGGACCTTCCGGAATTTAAGTAAGGCTTTTTGTATTTTACCTGGATAATGTAATTTAAAACTTTGGAGATTGGGGTGAGGAGTCTGTTTGATCTCATTGGCATGTATAGAGGCATGGAAAAAGGTCATGCCATGTTCATGTTTCATACTTGGCGAGGGTAGTATATGCTCTTGCCTTCCTTGTATGTAAATATGGCAAGAGCTCCCAAAAGGAAATAAATTAAGAAAATACACCCCAAAGTATTACATATAAATAAACCATTTTTTTTTCTTTTTTGGGAACTTCAGACTCATGGGTATGACTTGATTTTTTTGGGACATGAAAGTAAGCACTGCCTTTGTGTCAGGGCAGAGTGCTCTCCTAACAGCAAGAAAATTACATGAGGAGAATGTCTAAAAGACATTTGGAGACAAATTGAGTTGTTCCAAATCCCACAATAAAATGTAGGATGACAGTATTTGTTTACTTCAGCAATAGACTAGAATTGACAAATGTCATCCTCCAGTCACAAGTTTCAATAAAGTACATTTATTTACTTGATGGTTTAACAGCAAAAGTTAAACTTCCTTTTTGAGGTTCAATTCAAAAATGGTGACAGTCAGAAATAACCACGAATTACACGGAGGCAATGAGTAGTATCAGCACTGGGCTCTATCTCAGACCTTAATTCAAGATCAGGGCCTTTCTTTGAAAATTATTTACTTTACAATTGGGTCAAACATGTCACCTCCTAGGATCTGGCTTTTACTTTTTCATGTTTCAAACACTGATCCTTTCTCATAACATAAAAAAAAAAAAACCCTTGCAAATTCTCTTTGGTCATTAATAATCTTGAAGAACTTTGCTTGTCAGGGAAAAAAAAACAAAACAGAATTTACCAAGAGAAAATTCTGTTTTTCTGTAGGACTCAAGGTGGAGTCTATATTCACAGTGACAGACTGACAGTCACTTCTCCTGTGCTCATGTGGGTCAAGGTATGAAAAAGTTTTATATAGTTCACCTTCTTCTTTGCTGTTACAGAAATGGAAATTTATTCTGAGCAGTAGTGAAATTCATCACTCAAATCAACATAGTTCTTTTCCTTATATTCCGTTTCTTTTAAGTGTTATTCTGTGTCTTTGGTATGCAAATAGTAATGCTATCAACAAAAAGTGGAAGTTGCTAACAGTTTGATTTTTTTTTTGTTTGTTTCTTCACTCTCTACTGTTCCAGCACTCTGTGTATGAGAAATACCTTCATGACTTTCCCTCATTTTCCCTCTTTTTTCTTTGTACACTAAAGGGGCAGCTGTTACTTTACCTGGCTTAAATCTGTGTTTTTGTAGCATCCAGGTTACCTAAACTGGTTTTTTTTTTTTTTAGAATAAGCTCTGCTAACCAATTGATGTCACAACTGGTAGACAGTGAAAGTGATTCCCAGTCACTTTGACTGATGTTTATTTTGAAGTACAGCATTCTTTTCTGTTTTAAAACAGGGCCTTCCTTGCTTCGGTGCAGAGTCTGCAACACTTGCTCTCACATGGTACTATGTAAATCTGTCTTGCTAAGGGCATTTCAATAGTTAAAATATTTGAAAGGTCACAGAACCCCCAGCTACCCAAGCCACAGAAATACTGTGATCCACAGTAGTTGACAAAGGTTTGGTAAATTTGCTTGCGGTTGGTCTTTTAAGCCACAATGAAGAGGAGCAGTTGTAATTATAAAATTACAGCAGTTGTAATTATAAAATTAATAGTATGATGATATAGGTATATGATGTTTCTTTGGAAGTCTTGCAGTGCCCTGTTTGTCCAGACAGTCAGGGAAATGGTGATCTAAGTGAAACTATGTAAATATAAATTAATTTTTGATTTTAAACTTCAGAAAAATGAAGCTCTTCAGGCAAGAATGAACTTCACTTGAATTGGCCTTATATTAAAGAATCTGTGAGTTAGCTGATACTGGAGGTAGTGGTATTGAGGTTACTCATGTCTTGTAGGATGGAGTGCAGGATTCACCCTGTTAAGATTTCAGAGATTTCCAAAAGTAGGAACAGAAAAAGATAATCCTGCTTTGTGTCTGGCACTCTTGAAAGTGCTTTTTAATGAATTGGAATTCTTTAACTCTTGCCTCTTATTTAGATTTCAAAGAATGGATCTTTGTGATTCAGCTTCTTTAAAGACCTTATTTTTCCCCTGTGTGACTCAATTTTTTCCTTTATGGACTCTTACTTAATAAATTAATTTATGCAACTTCTTGAGAAGTCTATAGTCATTAGCTAATTTCTCATTATCTGCCAATGAACTCTTATCAGTGATGACATGAATTTATTGTTTAATTCCAGATTGTGAGTATGCATAATTTGATAGCTCGTTACAATCATTCTTGATTCTATTTTTCTGTTTTAGGCCCTGGATAGGATCTTGGAAAAGATGAAGTCTTCAGGCTTTAACTTTTCTCAAGTCAGAGCTTTGTCTGGTGCTGGCCAGGTTAGTTTATAAATTAAAAATCAGTCTTACTGCATTTCTTCAGTATAGTATAAGGTACAGTGATAAATTTAATTTAAATAATTGTATTTCAGAAGACCATAATGGCATAAATTAAGAAAAAAGCTTCTGTGTAACTGTTCACAGACACATTTCTCAGGGCAGCTTGACACCTGAAGCACACAGAGCAATCATTACAAGATAGTGGGAGTGGAGGATGAGGTTTACAGTGCAGTTGTTTAGATCAGTGTAGTGCATAAGTACTTGGTTTCCTGTTGTTTTAATTCTTTGTGCATACAGATTCTGAAATGACAGGGATCATTTTGAACTTCAGCAGATCCAGGTGCTTGTGGAAAATGGGGTAGAAAAAACAGTGGGGAACACAGTTTGCTAAAAGCATATTAACATCCTCTTGAGCAGAGTTTTTCACTGGCTAGAAAGGAGATCTTACTGAGAACAACAAAACCCAAACAATATGAGTCTTTGAGGCAGAAATGGCAAAGATGCTGCCATGATTTAGCCTGTAGTGCATAATGTCTTTTCTTGGGATTTATAAAACCTACCCTGACATTTAGTCAGTGAGCCAGTCTGCTGGTTCTCTGGTGAAACAGCATTTCACAGGTGATATCCAGGATGAGAACAGCA